ACACGCCGGCAGTGTGAAGCAGATCGTCGGTGGCACGCTTTCTACCACCACGCCCGATGTCCTCAAGACCAACTGGACCTCCGAGCATCCGTCCGCATACTACGCCGACCTGTATAGACAGCATGAGTTGACGGGTGCTCACGTGATAATGCTCGGCCCAGGTAACGATGAAGCTGCAAAGGAAGCGTTGCACGCATGGCAAGGCGGCATGCAGGTTGGCGGCGGCATCACGGAGAAGAACGCAGCAGAGTGGATTGCCAGGGGTGCTGAGAGAGTGAGTCGCGGCAATATAGTAGGCAAAACGTAAGTTAACGAGGCACGCAGTAGGTAATCATAACATCGTATCTTTTCCCAGACTCCACATTCTCCATGGACCGCCTCAAAGCGATCCTGCAGGCTCTAAACAATGACAAGTCAAAGCTCGTCATCGACCTCAGCTGTCGAAGGAAAGACGACAAGTGGTTTGTGGCCACGAACAAATGGCAGACGATTACAGACTTCGAGTTGAACCAGGGTATGTAGTCGCTGTTTAATAGCGTGAGCAGGCTAACAAAGCCCACAGAGTCAATATCCCTGCTCGAGCCACGCTGCTCCGAATTCTTGATCCACGCCGCCGACGTTGAGGGTCTGCAGCGCGGCATAGACCACGAGCTCGTTAGCAAGTTGGCAGAATGGTGCAGCATCCCCGTGACGTACGCTGGTGGCGGCAGGGCCATTGAGGACCTCGAACTAGTCAAAGAGCTCAGTCATGGCAAGGTGGACTTGACCATTGGCAGTGCTCTGGATATCTTTGGAGGCTCAGGCGTCAAGTTCGAGGAATGTGTCAAGTGGAACAAGGGCCAGGAGTAGTTTCGTGCGAACTTTTTCGGTAGCCAGTTTCTAAGAAGAGCAGCGACACAAGACAACAAAGGTGTCCCTTGAAGACTGCAGCCGTTTAAAAGCAAATAACCCTCTTCCATGGTCTACACACGTGAAACTCATGCACACACGGAAATAGCCTCGTCTCACGTACTTCAGATTTTGTCACATGTGCTTCGAAGTTATGTACGAGAGTAATGTGATGTGATGGATCTGGTGTAAGCGCATCGCCTCTTTCAAGTTTTCTCACACAAGAGGCACCACGAGCACCACGGCATCAAGATCCACCATGGTGGCATTGTGCTCCATCAATGTGAGCATGGTATTATTGGTGCTACTCCTCGTGTTTGTACCCTGTGCGCAATGATTCTACCCGAACTAGCTTCTCCATTGGTGCGCAAGTGTCTCTGGATGCTTTGGAGCTACTGTATTCATAGCTCTCTAACTGCCATATACCTCTTTTTATCTCATCTCACAACATACAACATACAACATCCGCACTTTCTATTTTGCAACATCACATCAGCCACCATGAAGCTCGTAACCATCCTCCTCGTGTCAATACCCCTCATCTGCACCGCCGTCGACATTATGCTCTTCGACAACCGCTATGCCTGCACCGGCCTCGGTACAATATGCATTGATATACCACACAGCATGTGTTGCCAGAGTAGCTATGGCCCAATTGCGGGCTCAGTCAGTGGTCAAACCAAAAACTCCACCGACAGAATCACGCTGTACCGTAAAATCGGGTCGAACTTATGCGGAGTGACTTGGGGCGTCACCCACAGACTTCGCACGTATTGTGCGGTTCTGGGAGACCAAATCAACGATGAGCATTGGGTCGGTGGCGCTGCTTGGAGCCCTGGGGGCGGTCCTCCTATTGAGGGTGGTGAGGCATGTGCAGAAGTGGTTGCCGGGGATAACATGTTTGCGGAAGGAGGGAAGATGTGGGTCATTTCGAGGGAGAAGATGCAAGGGTTGGTTGGAGGTGGTGTTGAGGTGCCGAGGGGGGAAAGTGATATGTTGGCGTTCTTTAAGATGCATGCGGATAGGGTGATGGATGATGGTGAAGGCCATTCTGTTCGGGAAATGCGGTTGGTGTGTCCGCGTGAAGGACTTATGTAGAATATGGAGAATTACGCGCTTCGGCTCGGAAGGTCACCTTCAAGAGGGAGATTAATTTGGCGCGTGAGATTTGAGACATTAGGTCGATGATGGTGTTCAATGATGTAATCTCGATTGCGTTTGGGTACTTTAATGTCTCGAAGCGCTTCCCACAAGAGAACTATGGCCTTGTGAGAAGCATGTAGTCTGACGTAAACAACATGAAGCATGGCCTGATCACTTCGTATTTGTGTCTTGAGAATTGAGATGGAAGATCGAGAGTTGGAAAGGGTAGCAGCCCGGGCGAACATCACACGCTAAGTTAGCGCGCAGGCTAGCAGCTCATGGCACGACACGCTCAATCTGCGGTCCGCGGCTTTCCTTCTCTTCTTCGAACTTCTAGCTGCGCGTCTAGTCAAATACTATCTACAAAACAATGTTCGCTGCATTCAATGAAAGCTTGCTTTTGACCCCGAGTCCTTGTCGCACAACATTATTCACCACAAAGCTCGCATCAGTAATGGAGAAGACCAGTTCATCGCTACACCCTTCAGTCAATCTACATATCAGCTAGCTTGAAGATTACCATCATGGTTTCTGGTGCAGTACGACGCCGATGTACGCTTGGTAGAACGCAAATAGTCAATAAATCATACCGCATCGCTTTTCGCATCGCAAACTGCGTCCTAACGCCACGTCAAACTGGCGTAAGAACATCTTTGACAAAACGCGAGCTTTTCGAGTACACTTCTGGGAGATGGGTGTAAGGCGCAGCATGGTATCACACTCCAACCTGACGAATACTGATAAGAACGTTGAGATATAATGAGGACATGCGTTTAGTAGAAAGGTATCTGGCGTTCAATGTTGATGAGCTTAAGAAAGTCGTAGCAAACGCCGTGGATCGGCCTGCGTCTGATATCGAGAGAGTTCACAAGCTGGCAGAGGGTGGCTTCAATTGGATTTTCGAGCTGACAACAAAAGATGGCCTGGGTATCCTCGCTCGCCTTCCTTATCCTTCCACATCACCCCGTTGTTTGGCTGTGGCTGGTGAGGTTGCAACGATGGACTTTGTCCGGACACAAGGAATTCCGACTCCACGAATACTAGGTTACTCATTTGATGAAAACGCTGTTGGCTCGGAGTACATCATCTTGAAGAAGTTACCTGGGCGCCCGCTTGGAGATGCCTGGTTCGAGTTGTCTGAGCAGGAGAGACTTCAGGTTCTGAAGCCCGAAACGCATACGGTAGCTATACCTGGAGCGCATGCGAGATTTTGTGTGGGTCCTTACGCAGCACATCGGTGGTGGTTTGGCGAGCATGGGATCTTGAGCTTGATCGAGGGTCGCGTAAGTTATGCAATCACTATGAGCTTTATGGTGCTCATGCCCAACAGATATCGAGGCTATTCGAGCCCTTCAATCTCCCGCTGAGAAGGAACTTGCGTGGATCCATAAGTTTGGACGGCATCGATATCCGTTCCACCGACAACACAGGGAAGCCTTTCGATACGAAAAGCAGGATCTCAAAGTCCACGCCAATTCACTAGAAAGTTATTTACAGGTAGCTCCATATCTCGTGCCGACAGACCTGGAACTCCACTCACCCGTCCTTCGCCATCCCGATGTACAATTAAACAACATCTTTGTCTCCGCTGATTACAAGGTCACCAGTCTTATTGACTGGCAACATGCCATCGTGCTGCCGAAATCCCTTGCCGCTGGGATACCGAACTCCTTCCAAAACTACAATGATCCAGAATCAAGCTTCTTTTCGCCTCCTCATCTGCGGGCCGACATTGATTCTCATAATGACCATGAGCGTGCCCAGGGCACAAGAAGAATATCGTCGTCGGCACGTACATTTTTACTATCTGGGGTTTACAAAACGATTCAATCAATAGCATTGGGGTGCTCTTCAAGATCAGACAGACATACTCAGACGCCGTGCATTCGACTATGCGGGTGAACCGTGGGAGGGGCTCAACACGCCTCTCCAGTACGATCTCGCACAAATCTCGCAACATTGGGATGAGTTCTCCCCAACGGGGGCTGACGGCACGAAAGCGCCATGTCCTGTGTCCTTCATAAAGGATGAGGCGGACCAGATTGATGCTTTGGATGACTCTCACCGCGATGCGGATGGTGACGTAGAGCATATCAACGACCTCCTCGGTATTGGATCTGATAGCTGGACACCGCATGAGCGATTCGATGATGCGAAGCGCAAAGCAGCCGAGATAAGGGAACAAGCGCTTGCCTCGGCTGACGATGATCCGTGGCTGAGAGAAATGTCGGAGCGGCATTGGCCTTTCGATGATTTTGATAAGGAATGAGACAAACTTCGATACCTCGATGCTTCCAAGGTTATAGCAAGGCCCTAAGATGTTCCCTCCTACGCTACAACAAGCGGTACTAATACATAATACCTTGTCTACCCTTAAATCTTTATTACATTCTCTCAAAGCCATTATAGTATTATGAGGATAGACAGGCTTCCTATCCAAGGTTTAAGTAATAAGACGTAGCACTTAGTGGTGCGGTGCATCGGAGCTCCTTCGTAGGATCAAGGCTTGGAATGGGAATGCAGAGAGGTACAAAGAGCATGCTAAGTGCCAGAAGCGTGGTTTGACACAAGCTGTAATGGGTCGTCAAGAGTAGAAGCTGTTGAATGCTTCCAGATAGTGACACTCCGATGTTGTAGTTAACATGCAGGTTGGAGACCAATTCCAGAACTCCAGTTGCACTACCTTCTTCTAAATGCTTATACAGTCAAAAGCAAAACATCTTCGAGTTAATTTAAGTATATGTCGTACGGAAGATTGTGCGAAGAAGGCTAGATGCCCCGCCGAGATCTGGAAAACTCTGCCACGCTTACCCATCTCATAACCAAATCTCATGTAGTGCAACCACAAGACTCGATAGTAACAGATTTTTTACAGTCTTGTCAAGAGACTTCTGGCTGGAGCCTCTTGACATCCCTGCTATCCGAATGTAGCTATAGATTTTCTAAAATCTAAATTTTCATAGATCAAAGCATCGGTGGTTTAGTGGTAAAATTAGCCGTTGCCATCGGCTAGCCCCGGGTTCGAGTACGTTCAAATCCAATCTATTCAGTCTCCTCAATCATCTAACAGTATAACAGTTCCCGGCCGATGCAAACCACGTTTTCTTTTTGCCTTTTTGTTACACGCATCCCTCAGATATACATTAAGTATATTAAATTCAAGTACAGCATGCTCGCATTTGCCTGTTTCTGCAAGAGTTTATATAGTGATCTTTTTGTAATGGTTGTGGTGTTGAACGACGAAGTGGCGTTGAGCGTTAAGCGAGTGGCGCATGCGAGCACTGCCACAACCCTGCCACGCGACTTCGAGTCCCGCCATCTCTTTTTGGCCATGACTAGGGCGGCAACTGCCTAGTCATAATGTCTTCGCCATGCTCGTTGCGACTTGGACTCCTTCAACACTCCAATCGGCGTTTGACCAGCAATTTACGTCAAGCAGTGAATCGTCGCAGCAAGCCTCCCGCTTCACCGCTAGAATGAGGCTGTAAATTTGTCGAGTCTAGACCAGCATCACTGTCTCTCAGTCGCGCTCTGGTTTTAATTGTTTACTAAATCTTTCTTCATTATTACAACAACAACAACCTCGATCAATCATGGCATTCACTGGTCGGACGCCCGAGTCGCTCATGCCTCGCTCTGACTCACGAAATCCTGCGACCACATGTAAAGGCATCACGAAGACTGGGCGTCCATGTAGACGACCTATTGATGCCAAAGCATCAGAAGACGATGGGGTGATCGCGGTGGTATCGATTATCGGTGACGACTCTGATGATGAGATTGGCGCTGCTGCATACTTTTGCTGGCAGCACAAAGATCAGGCTGAGCAATTGGCAGCGCAAGTCTCGAGCGGGCCTGCCACGCAGCTCTACCCATTGAAAGAGCGCACTAGCATTGATACTCTGGTCGAGCGACTTGGTGTACTTGAGGTCGATGAACCTATGCAAGAGCCGCGAAGAAAGAGAAGGGAAAGCAGGTCTGACAACCGGACTTCTGGCCCTAAGCCGCCACGCAGGATCAAGCGGCCATCTACTTGGGACAATGTTGAGGGGCCGCTCATGTCCGTTCCGAGCGATATCATGGCCGCAGAGAAGCGCCGGACGCGTCCTCCAAAGCCTGCACCACGGAAGAAGAAGCCTAGCATTTGGGCGTCGCTGTGCTGTGGCTCTGCGGATACGGATGATGACCAGGTCGAAGTCATCCGTCATAAGAAGCGCACGAGTCAAGGTCCTGTCACAGCTCAGTACGAGCCACAAGTACCTATGCAGGAAGTCCCGCAAGCTCCACCGCGAGCCCAACAGGGCCGATCAAGACGTTCGAGCGCAACAGCCCCAAGACCATCTGCCGCACAACAACCATCCAACCCACCCACACGAAAACCCCTCGGCGAAAAACCCGCCAGGCCCATCAACAAAACTAACAGACAAGACTCCGAAACCGCCATCCTCCTCCGCTACATCCCCCAAACCCTCTCCCCGCACCTAACCTCCACCCTCCTCGCCGAACTCATAAAACCCATCTCCCCCCACGACGACGACGGCTACATCTACATCTTCTGGCAAGCCCCCGACTCCGCGGGTCCCGCGCCAGACACATCCGCCGCCTCAACACTCCTCACGCCACCTTCGCGCCCTGACCAAAGCCGGAGAACATCAGACATGCTGCGCCAGTACTCTGTAAAGCAACGCCAGCGCTCTAGCGATGCAGCCCCGGCTAAAGATGCAATCCACCTCAAAATCGGACGCGCGAATAACGTGCATCGACGCATGAATGAATGGCAAAGGCAGTGCGGGTATAATTTGAGTTTAGTGCGGTACTATCCATACATACCATCTACGCCTACGCCGTCGCCACAAACTTCCCCTGCGCAGTCGCGCCGCCCATCGGCGCAGGGTGTAAGGAAAGTCCCGCACGCAATGCGCGTGGAGCGCTTGATTCACCTCGAACTAGGGGCGCGACGCGTTGTCAAGGACTGCGAGGCGTGTGGGAAGACGCATAAGGAGTGGTTTGAGGTGGAGGCGAGTAAGGAGGGGGTGAGGCGGGTGGATGAGGTTGTTAGGCGGTGGGTTGGGTGGGCGGAGAGTACGGTTGAGGGGAGGGATGGGTGAGGGATGGGTGATGGGGTGAGTTGATGATGGTTATTTGCGACGAGGGCTGTGATTTCGATGAATTGGAGAAGGGAATTACGAATATAGATGGGTTTCATGGTTAATGTCAACGAATAATCTGTCCGTGGTATTGAATCTTATTTTGCGTAGAGGTGCGAAACGTACATGATCTTAGTTTTCGTTCACATTCACAAGATTCAAATTTCTACAAGACCGCGTACATGGTTAGTTCAAGTTCTAGAACATTGATGAACAGAATTTCATTGGGAAATATGGGGTATCTTGTGTAGCTACTGAAAACACGAAAAAGACAGGCGCATGAACGGTATGCTGGATCATCTACAACGTCGTCCAGATATGTGTGTTTGCTCGACATAGCGAGCACTGTACAAGGGAGCTTTTGGTGGTGGTGGGGGAGGGGAAGCAGGGGGTAGGTCTATCATGAGCGGCCGTGACAGTCGAACGCCATTACTTTTCCGTCTCTTTTCCGGTTCAATGTTCTCGCTTGGTGTTGAACCATTCTTCTTCGTAACGTCGTGCTGGGTTGTATGTACAATTACTCGGGTCTCGCCCCCACTCTGAGTGTCAACAGCTCCTAGAAGAGTCCTATGCGCGGCCGCCAGTCATTCTCGGCAACGGACTTGGGGTTGACGACGATCTGGTAGGGGAAGGGGTTCGCGTCGGTGGTGGTGATGGGAGGAATGTGGTCTTTGTCGCGGTTTACAATGGCGATGATCTTGTGTGCGGCCTTCTCTAGGGACTTGGTCATGGCGCGTCGCACCTTGAGAACATCTGGTGCAGGTTAGTACAACGCTTCCCGCATGGGTGCCGACGAGTGGCATACCAGTCTCAGTCCGCGGCTGTGCCAGGGTGACGTCCAGCGTCCACTGCTCCCAGCACACGTCTTCTTCTGCGCGGCCAAAGAAGTAGGCCTTCTTCCGCTTCTTCTCGAAGAACTGCACGACGAGCTGGCCGCGCCCCCGCTGCTGGTGTGTGCTGTCTATGGCGCGCACCAGCGCAATGGTCCTCTGCTCAATGAGCGTCTCGAGGTCAACATCGTCAATGGCGGGGAGGGTGAGGTCGAGCAGGTCGCGCGTCAGGGGCGATATGGAGGTGAAGTAGCGGTGGAAGAATATCGTGTGGAGAATTGCTAATCCGGTTGTCAGCTATGGTTCAGCGGAAAGTTCGGACGGAGAGGGATAGTGGGGGTCGGATGCGCGAGTTTGCGGGCAGGGCCAAGGGGGAAATGCGCACCCTTAACGACGTCCTTCACACACGCCAGGTCGGCAAAGATCTCCAGGTTGTACTCGGGCCGTCGTCGAGGCTCCATTGCGGCATCTACGGGCGCAGAGCTGTAACCGTGGCTGGTAGAGACCCCGCTGCGCGCCGCGCGGCGTCCTTGCACGAGCCTGTCGCAACCGCGCGATTTTTGTCTGCTGGCAGGATCAAGTGCCGTATCGTGGTGTCGGCGCCGTGTGTGCTCGAAGTTTGACGGGCGGGGGTGGGCGAAGATGTTGGGTGGTGAAGCTGAGATTGCGATGTGGATACGGATGTGGACTGTGGCGGGGTTGGCCGCCGCGAGCGAACAAATTCAAAGCCACGGCAGGCATGCAAGTGAGATCATCAAAGGAACGAACCACCACCACAACAAACCTGTCCTATCACCGCCGCCCCGATGCATTCTCCGCCGAGCCTAGGCTATTTCTGTCCCCTTCAGCCTCTGCGTGACATGAAGTCCTCCGAGACACGTCAACATCTGACTGCTCGACACTGTCATCTGCTTGTGACTGTGACGCTGATTCACACACGAGCGTCTTGCTGACACGGTCATGTTGGAGGCAGCACTTCGCTTACTGGCGGGCCGTGAACAGCCACTTTTGGGTGACATGCAGCGCTAGTGCCCGCTATGACCACCTCCAACGCGTAGAGTCGCGTCAACCCTCACGGCCGGCCATCAACCCAACATGGTCGGCACTAAGCGGAGACGAGACGACGACGACAGCGAGCGGGAGACACCCCGCAAACTGCGCGCACGCATTGCAGAGTTTGCGACAGAAGAGCCGGACACATCGGATGCTCAGACGCCGTCGAGAAGGGGCAGAATTCAGCACCTGCAAGAGAATGGGACGCCGAGGTCCATCCTGAAGAAGACCGGCCTCTTCAACGCGCCCAATAGCGCGACGCCAAAGTCGACTCGCAAGCTGGTCTTCGAGACGCCGTCCAAAACACCCCAAGACGAGCCGCCCAATGGCACGCCGACCATCGTGCGCAACGCCGACCGCAGTGCCCGACGGAAGAGCAACAGGCGCATACTCGAGCGGACCCTGAACGGCGCTGGTAGTGATGACGAGGCATTAGGTGAGGAGGACATACTCGCAGAGCACATTCTAGACGAAGAGGACGACGACGATGCAGTGGCCGGGGCCGAGGAGGCGGAGGAAAAGGAGGCGCCTGTACCGGACACGCCGTCAAAACGTGGAAGGGGCCGGCCAAAGGGCTCAGGAAAAGTAGGCCGACCACGCAAGGAGCGCTCGCCCACACCACCCACCGAGCTGCCGCCCCACGAGGAGTACTTCTATCAGAACCGTCCCGGCGGCACCAAGACATCCAACAACACCCTGTCCGCACAGACATTGCTCAACCATGACGAGTACTTCCAGGCCATGCAGTCCTACCAAGACAGACACCAGCCGGAAATGGACTTTCTGTTGGAGCTGCACAGCCGGGCATACGACCAGTGGATTTTCGAGCTGGAGGAAGGCTTCAATGTCTGCCTCTACGGCTACGGTTCCAAGCGCATCATAACCGAAAAGTTCACCCAACGTCTCTACACACATCTGTCGGAACAAGCACAAACCACGGGCACGAAGAAGGCGCCGAAAATTGTCGTAATCAATGGCTACTCTGCCGGCATATCCGTAAAGGACGTGCT